AGAAACACAAGACTATTTCCTCAGTTATCAAGGAATCTGCTTTGCTTGATAGTGCATAGGTCCTCAAAAATACAATTAAAATATGTCTGCTCTTTGAAAGACATTGTTAAAAAAATGAAAAGACAAGCCACAGACTGGGAGAAATATTTGCAAATCAAGTGTCTGATAAAGGATATATATTCAGGATATATAAGAACTCTCAGAATGTGATAATGAAAAATCAAGCAATTCTAATAAAATAAAATGAAAGTGTTTGTCCATATAAGGACATGTATATAAATGTTCATAGCAGTTTTATTTGTAACAGTCCAAACTGGGAACAACCCAAAGTTTATTAATAAGTGAAGTATGTGTCTCTTTAGCCTGGGATGCAGAAATTGTGGTATGAGCATACAATGGAATATTACACAACAATGAAAAGAATGAATAATGGATAAGTCTCACGATAAGTTATTTTGAGAAAGAAGCCAGACCAAAGGCTATACACTATCTGCACCCATTTATATGCCATTCTAGAGCAGTGTGAATTATTCTAACAGAAAATAAGTCTTGGCTGCATGCTGGTGGCTCACGCTTGTAACCCTAGCTACTTGGGAGACAGATGGGGAGGATCAAGGCTCAAAGCCAGCCCAGGAAAATAGTTCTCGAGACCCCATCTCCAAAATAACTAAATCAAAATGGACTAAAGATGTGACTCAAGCATCAGAGTGCCTGCTTTGCAAGCATAAAAACCTGAACTCAAACTCCAGTCCCACCAATCCAGTCTTTGGTTGCCTGAGTGACATTTTGTCACAGCTGATCTTTGGAATCGCAAAGGCTTAGGGAGGATGAGAGGGGAGGATTACAAAGGAGCATGGGAAACTTCAAGGGTGATGGGTATGTTCACTGTCTTGATGGTGTCAGTTATAGGTGTTTGTACATGTAAAACTGATAAAATGTACACTGTAAATATGTAAAACATGGCACATCAGCTCCATACATCAGCCCTATACAACTTTAAAAATCCCATGGAACTACACGCTTAAATCTGTGCACTTCGTTGTGTATAGATTATACATATATAGGTGTGTGTATATAAATATAGGCATATGTATACGCACACATAAATATATAGTTGCAGTAGTCCCCCCCTTAGCTGAGGTTTTGCTTTCCAACATCTAAAAATATTAAATGCAAAACTCCAAAAGTGAACAATTTATAAGTTTTAAATCGTGCACCATTTTAAGTAATGTGGTATCTCCCAGGATGTAAATCACAGTTTTGTCCAGAGTATCCCATAATCTCCCATCAGCCACTGAGTAGCCATTTCAGTTATCAGATTCACCATGGAGGTATTGTAGGTGCTTGTGTTCAAGTAACCATTACCTTCCTTAGTAACGGCCTGATCTGGCATGGTGGTGCATGCCTGTAATTCTGGCATCAGGAGACTGAGTCAGGAGCATTGTGAGTTTGAGGCCAGCCTGGTCTACATAGTAAGGCCCTGTCAAAAAAAAAAAAGAAAGAAAGGAAGGAAGGAGGGAAGGAAGGAAGGAAGGAAGGAAGGAAGCCTCAAAGTGCAAGAGTACTGACACTGGCAGGCAGTTTTTACTATGATACATTGTTAAAATTGTTCTGTCTTATTAATAGTTATTGTTAATCTCTTTTTTTTTTGTGGCATTGGGATTTGAACTCAGGGCCTCACACTTGCTAGACTGGCACTCTTACCACTTGAGCCACTCTGCCAGCCCTGTTAATCTCTCTTTACTGAATTTATAAATTAAACTTTATTATAGGGGTGTGTGTGTGTGTGTGTGTGTTTAAGGACTCACAGAAATTGCTTGTGCTTGAACCTGGAGTTGCTGGGTGGCTCTCAGAATCCCAGTGATAGCCACCAGGCAGTGTGGCTTTTGGGTCCCTTTCCTCTCTGGGAGTCAGTGTCGTCTTTTGTTAAAAGCCTAGCTGGGCTCTGAGATCTCTACAGCTCTAATGTCTGTGGTTCTGTGAGTCAAGGATGAAAGGAGAGCCCCTGGCAAACAGTGACGCAGACATTTAAACCAGAGCAGCTTTCAGTCCAAACCCTGGGACGAAGCCTGAGCCACTTTAAATGCCATTAATCCATCCCTGCTTGCACAGCAAAGAACCTGTTATGCAGAGCTGAGGCCAGGGAGGCTGGGAGAGGGCAAATATTGACACTCACTGCTTGCTTCTCTCTGCAGGCAGCACTGCTGCCAGGCGCCAGGGGGAGGGCCTGCCCCACTACACTGGGCCCTGTGTCTTCCTGGGCTGCCTTATGGAGGCTGGGAGGAAGCTATGGCACCTGCTCATTTTTGAAAGGAAGAACCAGTAAACAAGAAATGAACAAACACTGATTCTTCTGCCAAAGCCAGCCACCTCCTGTGTCCAGGATGCAGCCCCTGTCTGGACTCCAGCCTCCTCAATCTAGGGAGACCTGGGGGGAGAGAGGGACACCAGGAGGGCTGGAGTGGGCTCTGGACTTGGGCCTGTCAAAGTTCAGCTCCTGTCTACAGCTTAAAAGTTGTGTGGCCCTCAGCAAGCATCTCTCTCTTTGCCTCTGGAGAGGGCAGATAACCAAGCCAGGTTCCTGGAGTGGGGTGAGGATCCAAGAAAATGATTTACAGAGATGTGCCAGAGGAAGGCTGGCATGGTGTCCGGCATGGGCTGCTGATACTCGTGAGAGCCGCTAGCACTGTGCAGGGCACCCCCTTTCTTCTGCATGAAGCTTCTGTTCCCACCTGGCATTTGCATTCTGGATCCCAGCTTTTCCTGAAAGAGAGCCTGGCACTGGCTCTTTATTCCTGGGTCTTTTTTTGCAGCCCTGCCTCATAAGGAGGAACTGAGTGTATTCCTCTCGCTGAAAAGCTCTGCCAGTTCTCTGTAGCCTTCAGTCAAGGTTCTTCTCTGTAGCCAGCATCCCAGGCTCTTTTGCATATGCCACACACGCGGGACTCCATGAGCCCTCAGCTGCAGGTATCCACCATGCCTCCTTCCACCTGGTGCCCAATCCTGCCCTGCGTACACCCTGGTGCCCTTATCTGGTTCCAATGGGGCTCATCTTCTCCAAGGCCCTGCTCAGGCATCACCTCTGTCAGTAACCCTTCCCAGACCTCCAGAGACAGCCCAGGACAGTGAACTGTCCCTATAATAGCCTGGGCTTCCCAATCCACACACCTGGCTCTGCCCCTAAGCAGGCAGTCACCCCTCAATAAGCTGCCTCCCGTCTCCAAACAACAGGTTTTAGACACTCTAAAATCAGGCCAATTTCTCTGCTTACCCACCCCACAACACCACACTGTCCTTGGGAGGAAGCATGACATGCTGTGGCCTCCACGATCCAGCTCCTGTCCCCTTTCTCAACTCCTCTCCTCCTTTCTCCTTCCCCTGCCCTATGCTTCAGCCACTCTGGCTTGTTGGATATTCCTTGGCTGAGCTGTACCCTATCACACTTCAATGCCTCAGTTCACATGGACCAAACCTAGAGTGCTCTCTCCCCACTCCTCCCTCGGGAAGGTCTGCTGGGCTTCCAGAGTCAGCCCCACACCTCCTCTGGGAAAGAAGGCGCCCTGGGTCAGTGGTCAGAACCAGCCACCGCTCCTGTTCAGGCTGCAGTTGTAGAGAGACTTGGCCAAAGGGATGAAAGCCAAGGCTGGTGGTCCCTCAGGCAGGACCCCAGAGGCACCTGTTCCAGGAGCCCTTCCTCCCATGCTTAGGCTCCTGGAGGCCCTTGCTTGGGGCCCAGCATTTCCTACTCTTCCACTCACCCCTTGATGATGTGAGGTATGGCTTGTAAAACACTCTTCATGTGCCATGACCCAGACCTTTTCTCTGAGGGCCTGGCACCCGGCTCACAGCTTGGCATAGAGACTGATGAATGAATGAATGAATGAATGAGCCAGAGCTCGGCAGTCTCTCTGATGCCCATTTGCAGGCCAAACCTCACAAGAGACTGACACTGATGTATAAAACCTACTTTATTAGTTTCCATGGGGATATATTTATCTCCTTCAACAGAACCCGTCCCCCCACCGCTGGCCACATCCCATGTCTCTCTTTCAGAATAAGGGTGGGACACTTTCTGTCCTTCAAGCTTCCTCTTTAATGCCCCACAGAGATGCTGCATCACCCAAAGTCTGGTCACACTGGTAGCTAGAAAGGCCTTGGGGCTGGCGTGTGATTGGCCATGTTTGAGTCCCAGCTCTAGCACTGACTTTGCTGACGATCTTTGGCAAGTCATTTCATCCCCTGGGCCTCAGTTTCCTCATCTGTCTGATGGGGACATCCACCCTTGCCTGCCTGAGTGCGGGAAGCTGAGAAGGTATGCTCATTCCAGCTCCAGAACCAAAATAGAATTCTTTCTGTAAGAGTCCTGCTGGTCATGGGGTGAAAAGGGCATGGAGGGGTCCGGGGCAGATGCACAGAGGGTGGCAGGGCGCCCCTCTAGCTGCCCTTTTTCCAGATTTTCTGTTCTGCAGCTGTGAGCCTCCTGACACACTTCCCTCTGAGGAGATGACAAACAGCCTGACTCATGTGCAAGCTCACATGATCAATCTGTCTGGCCTGCAGGGGTGACTGGGTTGAGAAACAAGCAAAGGCTTCCAAGCCCCACAGTGTCTGCCTTAAGTACCAAAGGGGCAGGATGTACATGTGTGTAACTTATGCAACACACATGGGGGCTGAACCTTTCAGCTGAACACTTAGGCCCCAAACTTATCTTCTCTCCAAGGGGTGAAAGATAACATCCAAGAGCCTGTCTTGGAGCAGAAGAGCTCATTTCCTCTGTGCGGCCCCAAAGACAGGTCTAAAATCTCCTCATCGTTAGAAGCTGCCTAAACATGGTAGCGAGCTTCCTGTCGCTGGCGACATTAAAGCAGAGGTTGAGCAACTTGAAAGGAGGGGAGGCAATTCCTAGTTAGAGATAAAGTGTAGATCGCGAGGGATGGTTTCATAGGTTCCTTCCGGCCCTCACGGTCTAGAACTTGATGTGAAGGGTTATCAGTGCCACGCCAACCAGCCTGTCACAATGGCCTGGGTGGCCCACTCAGGGTCCAGGACAGGAGTATTCATCAGACCAGTCAGAGCAGTGCTGCACATGGTCCCCACACAGAGTCCTCGGGATACAGTCGCAGTACTTGAAGACAGTTGAAGGGCAGTGCCACCACCCAGGGCCACAGGGCGGGCACACAGTCACTAGGGAGACAAGAGCCAACAGAAAAGCAGCTGCTGGTCCTTGACTGCCCCATGCACCAGGGCACTCCCTAGTTCTGAAACCTGCCATAGCTCCCCATAGCTCCACCCCATCTGGTGTGGGTTGACTGTATTCCTGATTTTTCTGCAGCAGAGAGAATTGAGACTCCACAACTCATAGGCTGTGTGATCTCAGTCACTCTGTGCCTCAGTTCCTCATCTGCTCAAGGTCACTAAGTAAAAGAAGAAAGGCAGTGCTCAGATATTAATGGTGCATATTGTCTCCCCCATCACCCCCCTCTTCCTCCCTGACCCCACCAACACCTAGGAGTCTCAGAGAGTGCCTCACAATGTCTGTCCCCTTGCTCCGTGCCTGGCTTCCAGCATTCCTCCTTGCTCACCAACCCTGCTTGTCAACACCGTTCTGTTCTCAAAGGCCTGCTCGAATGCTGCCTCTTTTGAGAAGTCTCTCTGATTCCTCACATCAGAATGATGTGACTGCTGGAGGTGGGTGTGCCTGGCTCCTAACTGTCCCCCACCAGAATCTGACACAGGACCTGCTTCAACAGAGCTTGTTGATTGAACACTCAGGAAAGGATTTAAAGGAAACTGTGGAGTAGGACTCCAGACTTGGCATCAGGAGGCCTGAATTTCTATCCAAGCTCTCTTCCTGTCATCGTCTTTTCTCCTTCTGGAGTTTCTCACAGAGGGGTCTTACTTTACAGAGATGAGAGAAACCTCAGTTTTGATAGCAGTTGGGCAGTATGTATACTCCGTACATGCCCTCTGGGCTCCAGTGTCCCCTTCTGTGCCCTGAAGATCAGTTACCCCCATGCTCCCATGAGCCTTCAGGAGGTGCCATCAGAGGGATGCTGAGTACCCACCCTGGCGGTGTTCAAGCCAGAGTAGAAAACTTCCCAGGAGGCAAGGAGGGCACACGGGAAGCCTCAGAGATTCCCTGGTCAGCCTCCACCCTCCAGCACCTACCTGGTCACCTGCTCTGGCCCAGCCTGCACTGGGCCCCTCACCTGGGCTCAGTTCATCCGAGCAGTCCCCACAGTTGTTGATCCCATCACACTTTTGGTCTGAGTAGATCCAGGAGGCTGGGTCTCCACAGTGGGCCACAAGGAAGCTGAGGAGGCTCTGGGGCACATCTCCTGCAGGGGGACAGATGTGTGTGGTTGGCCAGGACAGGGTGCAGACAGGCATTCCTGGCTGAAGGTACCATATCATCAAAGGCATGGGGACATGGGGACCCTGCAATACCCAGAATGGCAGGTCTTCAATAGAGCTGCAGGGAGAGCAGAAGTGGGGTGACTCCTGGGAGGCCTGTCCAGAGCAGGGATATGGACGAGTGGGTACTCACGGCACAAGCTCTCATCCTCGTCCTCGCCATGGGGACAGGTGTGAATGCCATCGCACACTCTGTGGGCAGGGATGCAACTCCTCTGGTCGTGGCACAAGAAGCCTGTCCTGTTGGTTGGCGTCACACAGGCTTGGGCCCCTGCATGGGCAGGGGAGGTCCCTGAGGGTCAAGGTGGTGCTCACAAGGGCAGCACCTGAGTGCTCAGGGGTCAAACCTGCCCAGGTTCCCCAGCCCGCTCTGAGCTGAGATGTCCTGGACCCAATGACAGGCTCTGCTGCCTGCTGCTGCATGACCTTGGGCAGGTGACCTGATCTCTCTAGCCTTAGGTTCTTTGTCTAAAAGGGGGACACCCCCCCCCAGGGCTGAAAAAGAACTTCTCCAGATAGGCGCAGAACACAGTCTCTGCAGGTCAGGACTGTGCTGGTATGTACTGAAACTCATCTCCAGTCTCCCAGCAAGCTCTGAGGGTGACACTCCGGGCCAACGATGTGGTGGGAATGGTGGCTCTTGGCACCATGTGAACTCATCAGAAGCAAGTATGTTTGAGCTATCTGGGGAAGCAGATGTCACAATTCCTTCCATCTGAGCACATCTTGATGGTCTGCAAAGCACTTGCGTGTCTTTAGTCTATGGTTTCCTCAAACACCCCTTTGAGGTGGAACAGTCATTATTAGCCTCCTACTAGGGGAAGGGGTGGGACACCCACCCCTAGGGCTGCCTTCAAAGAATTAGAAGGTAACTGGCAGGTGAGGCGGGAGGTCACCCTGGCTCCACAGACTGCATGTGTACCAGGGTGCTAACTGGGACGGCAACAAGTTTGTTGTGTGTGCATCTGTGCACATGTGTGAGCCATGGCTCAGTTCCTGAAGTGCCTCAGCTAGTGTGAAAGGGGCACACACCATCACACACAGGTGTACACACAGACACGCTCACATTGACATACGTTCACACACACATCCACACCTATGTGTATAGGCACACACAGGCATACAGACGTGCATTCACACAGACACCTGCACACGCATGGGTGTAAGACACGTGCACACACAGGCACACGACTGCACCTCCCACTCTTGCACAGGCAGAAGGAGGGCTATGCATTTTTACCCCTTACCACCTTGTTCCCTCCACCAACCCTTCCTGGCTACAGATCCATTTCTCAGAAAGGTGAGGGAAGGGATGGGACAATCCCCTTCCTGTGGCTCCTGGATTGTGACCAACCTCCCTAGTGCAGCCTCTGAGGCCTTGGGCACCTGGCTCCACCCACTGTATGTCTACTGGTCTTCTTGCAGTCCCTCCTCGTCATACTTCCTCCCACCCCAGGGACTCCACAGAAGCTGTTCCCCATGCTTGGGATGCTTTTCCTGACACTCTTCACTAACTCCATTTTCCCTTCTCACCTCAAGTCCCTTTCACTTCCCTGAGGTGTTCATCCTGAGTCTCAGATTGGGTCAGAGCACCTGTTCCAGACCCCACCCCATCGCTATCGCCCTGCCCACTGTGTTTATTGGATCAAGCCCCCATTGCTTTCCAAATAGCTCCTCAAGGGCTGGGTTGAGCTGTTTGCCAGGATGCATCCTGAGCGGCCAGAGGTGCCTGGGGGCTGTGGGAGCTGAGACAAGGCTCTTAACCCAATCTGGGGGTCAGGGAAGGACTCCTGGAATTGGTGACTAAGACTTCTCGGTAATTCGTGTCACAGATGTGCAAACGGAGGCTCAGAACTTGTGTATCAGGGTGTGTGTAAGTACCTGCATTGTGTTCGCAGCTTAAGGAATCATTCAAAAGTCACCTTGTGGAGAGGCCACACAAGGTCAGAGCTCCCCATCTGTCTGTGCCTGCTCCCTTCCCAGGTCTGACCCACCCTCTCTTGCTCATCCTGACCTGGTGTGCAGGATGGGAATCCAAGGATGGCCACCAGGACAAGGAGTGCAGTAAGCATTGCCAGGAGCAGCAGTACAAAGGCTGAGAGGCAGGCCCCACGACGGGAACAGCAGAAGGGACCACAGCCTGTTGAGAGGGGACACATAAGCACAGTGAAGGGGGGACCAGGGATCCCCTCACCCCTTGCTGGCTGTAAGCAGCCTCTCCCAGGGCAGGGAGGGCTTCCCTGGAAGGGGCTCCTAAGCCTTCCATGCTTGCTTCTCTGACTTCTGTCTGTGCCCCCACCACACATACACAAGTGTCATCCCTGGCCTGTCTGCCCAACAGCCTTTGCCCTCCTACCTGCCCAGGTGGCCTCTTCAGGATGCAGGGAGAGACAGATACCTGTGTATCTAGCCCCTACCATGAGACAGAGATGGCAACAAGCCTTTCATAGCTATTATTTTTCTTTTCAAAATAGCTCTTTATTTCCATTAGTGATGAAACTGAGGCTCCAAGGGGCAAGGGTCCAGGTCCTCCCAAAAGAGCTGGGAAGTAAGCTTGCACCTGTTTGATGACAGAACCCATGCACTTTCCATGATTGCAGCCAGCTGTCTATTCTGGAGCCAGGAGGCTGCTTGAACCCCAGCTCCACTGCCTCCCAGCTGGGCTACACTGAGTGAGGACCTCACTTTCCCATGCCTCAGTTTCATCAAGTGGAAAGTAAAGACATAATAGCTACCCTAGAGTAGCTGAGAGGGCTAGATTTTTGAGTTAGTGTACTAAGACAGCACATGGACATAGTAGGTGCTAAGTGTGAGCTGCTCTTACTGTTTTCTGAGCACCTATCATGTGCCAAGCTCTCTTGTAGGCACTGTGGAAATAGTGACAGGTGATGTCCCTGCGCTCTTAAAATTATATTTTGCTTCTTTAATTCTCTCTTGCAAAGCAATGAAAGAAAGCTTTACTGGGGACCTTTTGTGCACCCTGCTCTGTTGAGCGTACAAAAGGAGCTGTGGCTCTGGTTCTTGCTCTCTGAAAGTTTGCAATTGCACTTAGAGTGCAAGATGTGGACACACGGGAAGGAGGATGTGGACTCTGTCCTGTCCAGCCACAGAGAAAGGGGCAGGAGCAGATCTGATTCATCCCTGAGACCCCAGGTCCAGCTCAGAGGCAGGCGCCCTTCTGGGATTTGTGAGTACTTAGAGAATATGCTGGCCCAGAGATGTAGGAAATGTGGGGAAGGCCCTCAATTTGGGTCAGTTCTGATCATTTCAATCCACTCACCTTTCCAGAGGCACTTGCCAGGGAGACCTGCAGGTGTCTGATGTCAGGTGTTAAGAATGGATGGGAAGGCATGGGCAAGGGGCTGTGATGGACCTGCCCGGGTCGGGGCGGGGCGGGGGTCTCAGGAGCTTGGGTGATTTCCACAGGCAAGGGAGGGAGCGAGGGTGCAAAGGGCAGACACCCCAGGCAGAGGGTGGCAAGGATGGCATGTGATGTGATGTATTGGGACAGGAGACAATAGTAGCATGACCGGAGGCACAGTGCACACCTGAAACCAATAATTCCCAGAGCCCCAGTCTGCTCCCTTGCCAGCAATCACAAGGTAAACTCAGGTAACTTTGGAGACAGCGTGAAGCTGGGCGTGAAGCTTGGTCAGCCAAGCAAGGCTCATCAAATATTTGTGCAGCCCAGGCGTGCGCACAGTGAGGTCCTGGGGAGACACAGGATGAGCGAGGCTCTCATCCAGGTGAAGGTGCCACACCCCAAAGCCAGAAACCCCTTAGGTGCCATCACCCACCCTGGACAGATGGAGAAAAGGAAGCTATTGGTTTCACTAGCACCTCCAGCATCATCCAGGACTTGAAAATAAACAACTAGCAACGTGAGGCAAAGAAGACTTAGGGGCTTTGCAATCAGAGAGAACTCAGTTTGAATTTGAACCCTCCCACCTCCCCAGCCGTGTGACCTTGACCTGGTTACCCAACCTCTCTTACCTCAGCTGCCTCATCTGCTATTGCCAGTAACAACCCTGCACCTGCACCCCTCCCTCAAAGCTTCCCTGAGGGTTGAAAGAGAGCTGCAGTGCCAGGTGCGTGGTTGGGGCAGATCCTTTTTCACCCTTATTCTCATCTACCTCTCCAGTTTGCTTCCCCACGGAGCAAATTCGGGCCAAGACAGGGCTCTCAGGAGATGCTCAGTGCAGGAGTCCCACCCTCCCTCTCTCCCCCTATTTCATGAAGGTGAAGACAACAGTCCTGGTCACATAGGAGTCAGTGGCACATCATAGGTGCTCGGTGTGTGCCCCTGACACTTCATCCCTCAGAGGTAGAGAATTGCCCAGGTCATTCACTGAGTCAGGGATCTGGCTCGAGGCCCTTTTCTCCATGTCACGGGTGGTGGATACAGTGCTGGAAGGTTCCCAGCATGCAGTAAGTATACATGCTGGTACATGGAGAGACTGACCAATCCTATTAAGAAATGGCTGTCAGCACAGCTGGCCAGGAAGCGGAGAGCAGACACTATCAACATGGGGTGGGGGTCAGAGGGACAGAGGTTGCTGTGGGCCCTCTCTGTGGCTTTGTGCTGGCTTCAATGCAGCCCTCTGGGGGCCCATAGTGCCTGGCCCAGCCCTCCGTCCTTACCTTCCTCTCCAGGATGGGCTTTCCTTCCGGCAGCAGTGTTGCCCTCCATGTCCCCCTGCCCAAGAGAGAAGAGCCAGGGTGGGCTTAGGAGAGGTGAGGCCAAGCCTGAGGTGGGGTTTTCATAATGGGTCACCGAGAGCCTTAGGTGGGACCACTGGTCCCTCATGCCCAGCAAGGGTGTGCCCCAAAACTCATTCTGCCTGCTTCAAGTTTCCACACTTCCACCTGGTGGTGGGTGCCCCTGCTGGGTGCCTTTTCCTCTACTGTATGCTTGGCAAATGGGCGTGCCACCTCCTCTTAACGTTGATCATTGCTCCACTGGTCTCCAACCCCCAGGGCAGGTGGGGCTTAGTACATCCTGCCCCCACTGCCCCCTCCTCATCCCAGGGTTTGCCTCCCCAGGTCAGAGCCAGCTCCGGGCAGCAGTTACCTGGGGGAAGATCTTGTTCATGGCTCCGGCACCCATCTTTAAGAGCTGAGGCAGAGTGCAGAGAACTTGTTGCAGGTTTCCCGCTTTGTCACCAGGGGCAGCGTGGAGGAGGGTGGCAGGAGGCCTCGCCCCAGGCCGCACCCTCCTTGCAGTCCCCACCTCTGCTCCCTGGCAGAGGAAAAGGCAGAGGTGCCCTGCTCGTGCCAGGCCTTTTCCCATGCTGCCTTCAGACAGTAGCACCCCAGGAACACTCATCCCTATTTTACAGATGAAGAGAGGAGAAAGTGCACCTGTACCTCAAGTCATGCAGCAGGTGGGAGGCATGAGACTTGAACCCAGGGATTTGGCACATGCTCTCTCCTCCTTGACAATAAGGCTGCAGGACACTGCAGGCAGAAGTACCCAGAATTGAATTTCTGTGGTGAGAAAGCACAGCTCTTTTCCTCACTAATGTTCTTCTGTTCAATTAAACAGATAATCCAGGTTGAAAGCATTTTCCACTAAAGCTGTAAAACAAATATAATTTTGAATTATTGTCTTTAAAAACATGGTGATGTGCATTTTTTTTTTCTTTTTGGGGTATTGGGGCTTGAACTCAGGGCCTTCGCCTTGAGCCACTCCACCAGCCCTATTTTTTTTTTTAAGGGTTTTTTGAGATAGGGTCTCAAGGAACTATTTGCCCAGGTTGGCTTTGAACTGCAATCCTCCTGGATCTCTGCCTCCTGAGTAGCTAGGATTATAGGCCTGAGCCACCAGGGCTTGGCGTGTCGTGTATTTTTGTTTGTCCTTAGATGGTGCTGGGAGCTGGGAGTCAGCTGGTTACCTGAACAACACTTCCACTCACCCAGAGGGCCCTGCCAGGGAAACCAAGTCTTGGAAGCTGAAGGGGCTGGTCCCATGACCCACACTGAGCGAGCAGCAGTGTTCCCCTCCAGAAATGAGTTAGAGCTCCAGCTGGAGTCCCACTGTAAGCTCCTCTCGTGCCCATAGGTTTTCTTCCTTGTGATCAGCCATTTCTTTCACACTGGGAAATAAAATTCTGCATCCATGGGGTCCAGGAGGATGGGCAGACCAGGGGCAGCCTGCAGGAGGCAGCAAGTGATGCTGGGAAGAGCTAAAGCCTAGGAAGAGAGAACAGGGTTCTAATTAGGACCTTGTCAATGGCTTCAGGTGGGGAAGGTCATTTCTCTTCACGTCTATAAAATAAAGGGATAGACTAGATCAAGGGCTGTTTTAGTTTAGGGCTCCCCAGCATCAGACCCTAAGGCAAGAATAGAAGCCAAGTAAAGTTGGGCATGGAGATTCCATGTGCCTGTAATCTCAGCTGTTCCAGAGGGGGAGATAGAAGGATCTTTGTCTGAAGCTGGCCTGTGCCAAAGCACAAGCTCCTATCTGAAAAATAACTGAAGCAGAAAGGGCTGGCGCATAGCTCAAGTGGTAGAGCACTGCCCAGCAAGTGGGAGGCCCTGAGTTCAAGCCTCCCCCCACAATAAAGGAGGACAAGTAGAATGTAACCGGGAACAATCCCAGGCAACCTGGTCAGGAGTGAGTCAAGTTAAGCCAGGAAGGGAAGGCTCTGATAACAGGTGTTATCAAGCCAGTTCCCACTAGGTGAGTGGAATTGGATCCTGCTGGGGTGCTCAGGGATGCTGGGGGGAAGACATGCCTCCAAGGTGCCCACTGGTAGCTGAGGGGACTGGGGTCCTTATCCCCATTCCTGCCAGCCATTAGCTGACAGCTGTTGGCAGGTGTTCCTTCCTGGCACCACTGGCCTGCAGTGGTGAGAAAGGCCAGGGCTGGCAGTTGCAAGACAGGCTCCTGTGCTCTAGGATGGAAAAGACTGAGGGGGTTGGGCATGCCAAACTCCCAGCTGCATGCCAACTGTGATTGACTAGGAGAGGCTGTGTAGCACATGGGCTCAGAAGGGTTCCCTGGCCAGGCCTATGAGTAGCTAGTGAAACATGCACAGTGATTATTTGTCACTCCTGGACCAACTCATGCCCTTCAGCCTCTGGCCTCCCTTGGCTCTGATTCCTTAGTGTTCCTTGATAAGAATTCTTGTGAGGGTGGGAAACGCCCCTTCCCTTGGCCCTGTATGCCTGTGCCTCTCTCCAGGGCTCAGCTGTCACCAAGAACCCTTGTGGTAAGGGCAGTTGGGGGTCCTAGCCAGATGGTGCTTCAATTCCTGAACTTCCTGAGGGAGGGAGGAGGGCAGGAGGGGAGGGTGGGAGGAGGAGAGGATGGGAGGATGGGAGGGAGGAAGGGAGGGATGATGGGAGGATGGAAGGATGGGGGGAAGGGAGGACAGTGATTGTTTATTGAGCAGTTACTATGCTCTAGGCACTACTCCAGCAACCGTGTGCCCAGCCTCACACTTGACCCTCACAACAACTCACATGAGGAAACTGTGCTCAGAGAGGTTAAGCAACTAGCCCAAAGCCACACAATAAGTAATCTCCCCAATATTCCTCCCCCCATATCCAGAGTCGATTCCTGAATATGCTATGTCTGACTCCAGTGACTGATTTTTAATATCATTACTCTGTGTGCATAGGCATGGAAACAGTGTATCCCCTTTCTCTGCTTCCTGGATGCCATGATGTGACCTGCTCTATTCCACCATGCCCTTGCTGCCATGGTGGATTGACAACTCTGAAACCCTGAGCCAAAATAAATAATCCCTCCCTTTAAAACAATACCCTTATGATAGTTTTATTATTATTTTTCATAGTGCCAGAGATAAAACCAAGGGCCTCATGCATGCTAGGCAAGTAGTATACAACTGAACTGCATCCCAATCCTTTGGCAATTAAAAAAAATTTCCATAGATAATATTTTAGTGTCCTTCTGTCTCCTACTTTTACACACACACACACACACACACACATACACACTCCACAAACAGCCACTGTGTGGGGCATCTCAACTTTCCCAGGCACTGTCAAACAGCTCAAGGTGGCTGTAAAAACCTGCACTCCCATTAGCAGCATGTGAGAGTTCCTGTCTCCACCGCCCTTGAAATCGTCCAGTTTCCTGACACCTGCCAGTCTGGGACGTGTGAAACAGGACGTGGTTTAATTTTCACTTCTCTAGTTATTCCTGCTGCTACCACTATTACTAACACTTTTGAGTACTTAGTTTTGCTATGTGCCGTACTGCATGCTTTGTGTATACTAACCCGTTTGGTGTCCACAATCACAGGAGATGGGGACTGTTACCATCATTTTACAGCTGAGGTAAAATGAGGAAACTGAGGCACAGAGACATTAAATTAGTTGCCCAAGGCTCACAGCTGGAAAGTGGCAGAGTCAAAATTCAGACCTGGCTGGCTAAAAAACCCACAGTCATCCCTTGCCCACGACCTCGCTACTCAGAAGTGTGGACTGTTGAGCTGGCGGAGTGGCTCAAGTGGTAGAGTGCCTGCCTAGCAAGTGTGAGGCCCCGAGTTCAAACTCCAGTACTGCCAAAAAAAAAAAAAAACCCAAAAAACCATGGACTGGGGACCAGCAGGATCCACAGTCAACAGTGCTAGGGAGCCAGCTAGAGATTCAGAAGCTCAGGTCTGCAAATCCACAACCTGCATTTTTCCAAGATCCTCAAGAGATCCGAATGCACAGGAAGTTTGAAAAACCCTGGCCCACTTTACTCTCCAATCAGCCCTTTGAAAATGCATGGTCAAACCAGGAGAAATGGCTCACACCTGTAATCAATCCTAACTACTTGGGAGGCTGAGATTGGGAGGACTATGATTCCAGGCCAGCCCCGGCTCTCCCCCTGCCACAAAAAGAAAAAAGTTTGCAAGACTCCACCTCATCAGAAAAAAAAAATTCTGGGTATAGTGGAATACACTTGCCATCCCAGCAATGATGGGAAGCATAAAGTAGCACTGTGATCCAGGTCAGCTTGGGCAAAAAGAGAGACCCTATCTCCATAATAAGCTGAGTAAAAAGAGTTGGGGGTGTGGCTCAACTGGTAGAGTGCCTGCCTTGTAAACATAAACCCCTGAGTTCAAACCCAGCACCAGCAAGGAGAGAGAAAAACTACATTGGTCATACAGGTTTCCTCCCTGGAGATTGCTTGTTCATACACATTACTCCTCTTTTTTTCTTTTGTTTTTCTGAGATAGAGTCTCACTATGAAACTCAGGCTGGCCTTGAACTCTCCATCCTTCTGCCTCTGCCTCGTCAGTGCTAGAATTGCAGGTGTGTGCCACCATGAAGAGCTCCCACGTTGCCCATTTTTCAATGAGTGGTTTTTTTTTTCTTATTAAGGATTTCTGGTTTTGTTCTGCAGGACCACACTTTTATTGGGACTGCACTGCACGCACTCATCATCACACAACAATGGTACGTTACATGGGACATGCAAGGTGGCTTCTACCCATAGCTGGGGCCCAGAGGTGCACCCTGGTGGCCCAGCCCCAGCTGGGTCCCCTCCTCCAGGTAGCTGGCTTGGAAAGGGGAAGTCAGCAGGTGAGCTGAGAGGGGCAGGCCTGCCTCACCCCAGGGACTGCAGTTGTTTCTGGGACTGCCTTCCATGGGCCATCTCTCAGAACAGCTCAAACATGGTGATGTGAAGCTTATAGAGGTGAACTCCAGGTAGAGTTTACTGACACTGTGCAAAGACTCACTTAAGACCACAAAGCTGTCAGACAGGCCACAGGGGTTGTTGCTACTGTCCATGCTGATGTGGGAGCAGGGGCTGGGGTGGCGTCAGTAGATGACCTCGAAGTTCTGGAATATAACATCCCCATCAGGACCTCTGTGCCCAGAGCAAGTGGCTGTCTATGGATTTCTTTATGCTGGATTTGAATAATGTCTTATAAATCTCCCAGTCTGTGGCTTGTCACTTGCTGAGGGTGATTTCCCTTTCTAAATCTATCATTCTTCCTTGTTCAGACCAGGTAAAAAAATCACACTCCATGAAGCCTTCTGTGATGCTCCCTCCTACCCCTTCTTTTACCTTTCCCTGTCTTCCCGAAGCTCCATCTCCTTCTTTTTCCACAGTGGGAGACAGTCCTG